CTGCTGTCACATTTGAAGTAGCAAGCACGTTTCCTACTTAGGTAAGGTTTTGTTTCCTTGGATTTAAGAGTTCAGTAGCTTGTCAATCAGAAGCCTTTCTTTTGTTTTCCAGAAGGTGGTGCTGTAGCACAAGTTTTTTGTTTCTCCTGGTGCTCTGTCTAACCTGGAATGGAGCTAGGACAAGGCTCGTTTGCAGTTTTCATTGGACTCAACCTACCTTCGGTTTCAAATATCCCAAAGGGAGATCTACACAGAGTCTGGCTGGGGCTCTCCCTTTCTCTCTCCATCAACTGTGGGAGATTTATTCCGCCCTTAAGCCTCCTACCTCCGTGGCATTTCTTTATCTGGCAAATGTGTTGATTGGGAGACTGACCATGTATTCGAGACAGACTCTTTTCCTTGGGCAAGATTTTTGTTTCTGAAATACTCTAAGACTGGAGGAAACTTCAGTCTGAGTATTAGAAGTTGCTAACTTCCTATGCAGTCTCCAGATACAACAAATGCACCATGATGAAAATAGCACCACATATTTAGGGATCTCGGGGTTTCCAAATTGTTTCTGCAGCCCCACCCATTTTCCAGAAATTGTCATGTGTTTTCACTCCTGAGTGATATCCCTCAATTTAGAGCAACCTGGAGCCTAAGCCTGCTCATAGAATCGGGTAGAATTCAGAAGTCAGAGCTAGCTGCCAGTCCTCTCACCTCAGAATGGCCTGTACCTCTCTGTTTTACTGTTCTTAGTCCTCTTTGCTTTCTCAGATACATGATTTCTGTAAAAATAAGGTTTTTGCAAGTTACATATTTTTACTTTTTGCAGCAGGAGTGAGAGACCTAGTGCTTCCTACTCCTTCCTATTCTGAATGAGAAATTCCTATATACCAGGCTTTTTTGATGTTTTGAATTATCTAACATGTTCTTAGAAACTATCATTATGTGTGATTGGTATCATTTACGCCAAGCAAGTGCAATGAAAATGTGGGATCATTGCCTTTTTGTATTAATACCGGTTTCATGCAGCGGCATAGGTTTACATCAGGCCGTTTCATCCATTTATCAGCTATTTCTTGAACACTGACGACCCAGGACTTGTTCTGTACATAACTGAGGATGTAACAATGAGCAGAAAATGAGAAAAATACTTGCCCATGTAGTGCTTACATTCTACTTTGAGGAGACCGATGCAAAATCAGATACAAAGCAGGATCATCAGCTGGGAATGAGGAAGGTGGAGAGTGTATTAGATTTTGACAAGAAAAAGAGAATATGTGAAATGGTCAGTTTAGAGAGGAGAAGAGGAGATGGTCTAGGGATGCAGCTGAGGACTGCCAGTCATTGCTAAGCTGTTCGATGTCAGTAGACATGAATTTGAAGTGACTGTGTTTTCTTTGGCCACTTTGTCAGCTTCCAGTGTGGGAGCACAAGTAGGAGAGTCAGAGTCGGCCAAGATTGGTGTCTTCTAGGGTGGGTGTAATGGAGGAGAGCAGGGCAAAGAGATGGAAGGTGTGTGTGCAAAGTAGTCCATTGTAGTGATGGACCATGGAATCCAACCTGGCTAAATAAGGAAGAAAAGAGAAAAACTGAAAAACATGAGGACAGTGGATTTGATCTCTTGGTGGGAATGAGCATCATTGAAGTGGCCCCTGGAGTAGTAAGCACACTGTAAAGATAAGAGAGAATGGTGTGGGCACCTGGGTGGCTCAATTGGTTGAGCGGCTGCCTTCGGCTCAGGTCATGATCCTGGAGTCCCTGGATCGAGTCCCGCATCGGGCTCCCTGCTCGGCAGGGAGTCTGCTTCTC